GAGAAGCCAAAGCACAGAGATGCTCAATTTAAAATTCAGTGGCACATCCAATCAGATTTATGTGCAGATTTAAGGCATTGATTGGCCTAAATTGCAGAATGTACTGCATGCTTGCTCATAGCGTTAATTTAAACCTATACTACAGGGTTGTGACTGAGCTGACATGGTAAATATTGAGTCGCAGTGCAAAAAGGTTGACAACCACTGCTTCAGGTGTCCTGCACTCTTTGTTTGATCTTATCCTCCTTCAGTGGTTTAACAAATTCACACTAGTTCCATCAATGGTATTAAGTCCAGCAATTAAATACTGTAGTTAGCATTGGTTCTACTCGATTTACCCCAACATTTCCCCCTTTATCCTGTGTACAATTGGCCCATAATTAGCATCAAACATATAGTGAACCTTGAAGCTGGGGGGGGGGGGACGCCCTTCCAAAGCTGATGTGAGCACCCGATACACCTGCAGTACTCTAACTGTGGACGGTACACCTAGGGTCTGTTTTCTGAATGCTGATGAACCAGAATAATGTACCTCAATAAAAGAGCCAATCAAGAAATACCCAATAATGAGGACAGAAAAAATCCCGTGACAACCGCAGTATTCCACTGAGTCCGCACACGCACACCCTCTCCAGAGGGTTATGGTGAGGCTGTCAACAAATGCATGGTAGCCATCAGAGGCCTGATCTGCTTCCATGGATACAGTCCATTCACTCCATCTATGCAGGAGTGCTTCGGCCCAAAGCAAATGTCCAGCACCCACATCTACTTTACAACATGCTTTCCTAAGCTAAATGTAGCATTTCATAAAGGGTTCCCTCTCTGAGTGGTGTCTTAAACTTAAAATGTCTGTGATTCTAATTTAGCATATCCATATTCTAATTTGGCATTCAGGAACCATCCATCCATCCAACCATTTCCTGAAACCGCAGAATCCCAACCGGGGTCGCAGGGGGGACCAGAGCCTATCCCGGGAACAGTGGGCGCAGGCGGGAACCACCCCTGGGCAGCCGCCAACACAGGGCAATGCAGGGCACATTCAGGAACCTAAATTTCAATTTCAAAACTTCATCAACGCACAAAACACACCATATCCTTCAAGATTTCATTTAAAGAGTAAAGGAGTCAGAAAGAACTGTAACTCATAATAAACTTCTTTTAAAAAGCAACAAAAATAAAACATTCTAATAATTTAAAGAAATTTTAAAGCACACACATTGTATCTCAACATAAATGCAAATGCTGCATTTAAAAATGCTGTTTCAATTTTTTAAATTAAACTCAATTTAACATAAGTACATGAAACAGAAGGAGCACACATTCAAAGGAGTAACACCATGATTCTACTAACTAGGCACATAGATTTTAACACCCTACCACCCAGCGCAACACACCTGATAACAAAAGACTCAACCAGTCAATGAAAGACCACTCTGCCAGTGAGAAATCAAACTGTATAAAGGGCAGTGAGCAGTGCATCTGAGCACCAGTGCCAGAGCTGAAACTCACTCATCGGTCCCCTTTTAGGTACCTTCTTATGTTTAACATGGATTTTAAACAGGCAGAAGTTTGCATTCCATTTTTCTAATGTGTATTCAGTCCCATTGGCACGTGTGTTTCCCAGGCCTTCAGGATAAAGCACCTCACCTGAACTGACAGAAATGACCAAAGCCAAATAAAACACCTCATTTAGCATTTTTTTTTAATGCCCACAAAGCACTCTCAGCTTAACAGAGGAGTGTAGAGTTAAACATATTTTAGAGAAGAGACAGCTAGAGCTACACTGCGGGTATTATTAAACAGAGACTATGCAGTCATGTAATGATATTATGACCTAATCAGACAAAAAGGTGTGGGTATTAATTAAATAAAAATTTTGATTTAATTCATTTTTAAACACTTTTTGAATTCAGGTTTTATGTCATTAAAAAGTACTGTAGTGTACGCAGGTAACATGTCGGGTGTAATAATAAAATTAGCATAATACATTATTATGCTAATACTTATGGTATAATTAACCACAAACTAAGTCTTAGTTATATACTGATTGCATGTTCATTCATCATCAATGAATAATGATACATGCTTGATTTCAACAATTACTGGCAACCTTTGTAAAGAACCTTTGTAAAAAAGGGTTAGAAAAAACATCCACCTTTTGAAGTAGCTTCATCTCACACTGAAAAAATGAGAAAAATCCACCCGTTCACTGAAATAAATTTAATCAAAGAAAAACAAATCCTTCATCAAGAAATAATTATTTTCAACAAAACCACAATTATTGGCACCCCAGCATTTAATACTTTGTACAGTCTCCCTTTGCCAGTTTTAGAGCACTGAGTCTTCTCCTATAACATTTCATAAGGTTGGAGAATACAGAGCAGGGTGGCTGCCCTTCGCGGACAACTTACTCTACAAAGAGCAAGTTGAGGGATCAATAAAGTGTCAATTATTATTATTATTTCTGGCATATATTCCAAATAATCTGTTAGCATGAAGGTGGCATCTGATGGTATTTTTGGAGATGTGGTAACCCCAAAAAATGTCTTTGTCTTGTAATTCAACAACAGTCATCCTTGGGGATTTTTTGCCTCTCTTACGATTCTCCTCACTATACATGGGGCCAAACTTGGGTCCTCTTCCAGGCAGGTTTGTAACAGTTCCAGTTGTTGTCCACTTTTTTATTATTGCCCAAACAGTAGAAATCGGCATATTCAGGTGAGTAGCTATTTTTTAAACCCATTCCCAGACTTATGAAGGTCAACACACTTCTCCCTCATTTAGTTTGTGTGTTCTCTTATCTTCCCCACATTGATGGATGACTGAGGGAATTTGGCCCCTATGTCACCTCACGTTTGTACCCCAGTTAATCAAGAAGTCATGGATTACAGCTTGAACATTCCTACACACTCCAATCAACTCAATGATGTACAATTTACATGGGAAACAAGCTTCAGTTACATTGTGTTCACTACTGTATAATTTTCAGGGGTGCCAGTAATTGTGGCACATGTGTTTTTGTCAAAAATAATTTCTTAAATTCATTTCAATGAAAGGTTGGATGTTTCAAATTTTTCACTGTGAGATGAAGCTACTTCACCGAAGGGTAGATTTTTTCTAACAGTTTTTATCAATCTTTATAAGGGGTGCCATTAATTCTGGAGGACACTGTATATTTACTATATCTGTTAATTCTGTAAACCTTTATGAACTACTGAAGAAACAAGTAAGGAACTACTGACAGAACAAATAATAACACAAGTTAAACACTGATCTTATGTTTGTTCTTCATTAATGAATCAGAATTGTAACAAAACAAGAAAAGCATATACTGTACTAAACACATCTAAGCACATTTATCAAAACACTAATTTTAAAGTAAGAAAATAAATGCATCCAAACAATGTGTCCTGCCCCGATC